ATTTTCCAAACCTACTACCAGGGTTAATGGTGGTTTGCACCGCTATATGCATTGATGAGAACACATTGACCAACAGGTGATTAAAAAAATATACCGTAAGTGAGTAAATTGTAACAGATGGTTACAGCATGTGCCAAAATAAACTGATCTGAAAACCACTATCAATTTCCCTTGGTACTCAACATTGCAATATCCCTGTGAACATTCTTAGCAGCGTACTGTTTGTTTTGACTTGGACACTTTTAATCCAAACAGTGGGCACCTCTGGACACCAACATTTTTGCCAGGGGTGCTTGGTGGTAAAATTATATACACTTCGTTTTTAAATTGTTCATTTAACCCATGTTATATTTGAAATGAAAATTCAATTTACGGATGTAAATATGGTTGGATATCGTGAAATCTTGTTACTATATTAAAATCACATTGCCAATAGTGTTCTGTAGATGGTTGATATTCTTGGTGCTGATTTCGAGTGAAGGAATTGCATGTTATATTAAAATCTTGAATTTTTAATTAATGAGCTTTCTACACTTGAGAACACAATGAATTACTATTATTTATTCACTATCATGAAATTTAATTAATTGCAAATTCAAACATCTCCCTCAAATATAGTGAGACTTTCATTATGCAAATTTCCAACAATTGAATGCACACAACAAGCACAGATAAGAATATTCCAAAGGCTATTGCACTGTAATCTGTTTCAAGGGAAATTAATAGGCGAATAATTTTCACAGTTCGTTTATTACAGCACTTGCTGAAAAAAGAGTTTGATCATTAAAATCAGCGAGATCAACTAGAGATTGAAGAAAACTATTCATAAAAAATTCGATACTTTTTTTTAAAAATTACATCGTCTTATTCATGAAGACGTTCAATTGAGACAGACAAATCATAAAATAGACATATTTATAACTGTTCTTTCATTGAAATAATTTTGCAAGGACTTTGTTCAGGTAACAAACTTTCTTTGGATTTACAACAAATCACAAAAAAGTCATAGCTAAGCATTAAAAGCAGTTAGGGTTGACATTTTTGTTAACTTCTGCACTGGGTTTTAATTTTGCTTATTTCCCTGACTGGAAAATGCGCTAAATTAAAATCTAGTGAATATATAAAATTTAGCACTGAACACATTATCTAAATGATAAAACTGTTAATTTAAAACCCACTGAATGTGCCTGAAATGGTAAATCAGCAAAATTTAAACCCAGTGAAAATTAGTCATTTTACAGTACATCATGTAAACGAGTGTTGTTAATGTATAAATGGCACCCTAAATACTGGCATACTGCAGGTACAAGTAAAATGTGAATCTGGCCTTTTAAAGTTGAAAGAAACTCCAAATTAGTATGCATATAATCATTTACATACATGTATTAGCACAGTAAATACTGGTAATTGATAATGCTGGTCTATTTTGAGTAAAAACAAAGTCAAAACCATATTTCGGAGCTTATGATTTATTATTTATGTAAACCACAAAATACATAAAATGCTAATTATTGTATCTGATTCATACTTGCTTGTCATTGAACAACATTTTTCTTTTGCTCAAGTTTCTCCTTTGAGAAATCACGTTTGTTGCTTCTTCTATCATATCACTAGCACTAGATTCAGAGCATCATTTTGTGCAGTCAACAAGTTTCTAGATGTAATTTCCACTGGTCTTGGAGGACTAGTTGTAAATTTTCAGGCCAGTGTCATTCCCTGTGGGAGTTGCAAATATTATGTTTTCAGACGTTTGAGAGGTTGAATATAAGTCAAGTTTGTGGTTATAAAAATTTGACATACATGTGTTAATATTATTATTATTATTTTTTTCTAAGGACTATTTCTATATCCATGGTATTTATAAATAAATATCTACTCAGTAGCGATGATTTGAAAGTAAGTAATACTTGTGGCCATGAATAACATCTTTACTATTTAGAATTGTTACATTTATGTAAGGTGTGTTTTAGTAGAGAACTTTTTGATAGTACTGGTAATTCAGATACTATCCTCAGACTTAAGAGAATGAAACACATGAATACAATGATTCATGCAAATTTATATGGGTCAAAGGTCATATTTCCACAGCGTTATCTATTAGAAAATAATTTTAATTTTTTTCCAATTCCAAGGTAACAAATGTTTCAATTTATGATACTGATAAAGTGGCTGACTTTTAGTTGATCTCAGCGGTAGCTGGCAATTGCACAAATATAACAGCCCATTGCCAGTGTTTACTTATCAGTATGAATTTAATATTGAAGTAAACCGGTTGTGATTAGTTCTTCTCATCTAGACTAGACAATTTTTACTGATAAAATAGATTATTGTCTACACATACATTGCAAAAAAATCTATGAATTTAACGCCCAGTAAAATATGAATGCTAAAGTCATTTTATTTTTAGTGGAAACTCAATTATGGAATTCTACAATTTACTAAACTTGATTGATAAATAATTTTATAAATAATTACATGCACATACTTTTTATCTTGGTGAACCTATATGCTTCCAGGCTGCAAAATATTTGTTTCTAATATGTTGAATTTTTTTTTTTGTTATTTGTCAGCTTGATGCACCACTATTCGTAACATTCTACCAATGTGTAATAACAGCAATACTGTGCGGCATTTTTGGGATAGTTGGAAGATTTGTACCAGCTTTCTCAAACTTTCCAGATGTAAAATTTGACTACAGGGTGTCCCGTGAGGTAAGTGTGCTTGTGAAATAGCTAGTTTTTCCCTGTCTAAGTCTTTCTTATGTTCGTGAGTAAAATACTTTTATATTCCCTTGTTGGGTCAACAATAAAGTTTGAAAAAACACAGCAAGAGAAAAGTGATAGAGAATAAAACATATAACTAACAC